ACTCCACCCTTTAGGACTTTTTTTAATTGTAAATGTAAACCTTAGAGACAAATTATTCTAAAATGTGCATAGGACCCCTCTTCGATCCTCAACACTTCAACTATTAATTTAACAAAGTTTATTTAGGAATTGATTACCAATTCAAAATGTTTAACTTTGTTAGAGTATTAAGTTAATGGTTTTTTTTTTTTTTGTCTTGTACCTTAGAAACATAGATTAAAAGCATATTAATTGTACATTTTTTTCATTAATTATTATTGAAACAATAAAAATTGACTTCAGTTTTAACAACTATCTAATTAAAATTAGACATATGTCATTGATGATAAAAATAAAGTTACTTTTTGTGTTTTTCTTTATAAATTAATAAAAAAAATACAATTCATATATCATTAACTTGTATTCTTAAGATATAGATTAAACAAACCCAAAATTAATTAGTATATGTAATTTAATTTATTCTTGTCAAAAATGAAAAAGTATGCAATTGGAATTTAGAAAAATTAGAAAGAAAATATACATACAATGTATGCTATATGATAATACACTCAAAAGGACACTGATTGATATTTCCTTTAATTTAACATATTACATGATATATGTATTAAAAATTGTTATTTTTTGATATAAAATTACAAATAAATAAATTTAAAAATATAATCATATATATAACATGTAAAGAATAATTGAATTAATTATATTTATATTATATTTTTAAAACTACACCATACAAATATCAAAATGTCAAATAAAAAAATATTCTAATTATTTTCCTTTACATAATTAAATGAGGTTAATTTTCCTATCTAAAGGAGTATATTCTAGGGGAAAAAATAGGATGGTTCATGCATCGGTACAATAAAATCTCAGGACACTAAACAAAGAAGTGGAGACAAAGTCTCATGGGGTCGGAATTTAGTTTAGACAAATACGTGGAAAAATAAATGTTTTTTTTTTTTTTTCCCTTTCCAAGGAATAACGTGTGTGCATAACTTTTGATCAGATTTCTCTCTAGCACACACAAATCCTTTTTTTTTTTTCGGCTTAATTTGTTTTGTTTATTATATATCTGTTTTTGGATAAACGAAAGTGAAGTAAATAATAATAATAATAATATTTTTATTCTTTTGTTTATTATATATCGGTCAGTCCTACGATCTAAAACTCTAAATCCTACGGAAGAAAAAATAAATAAATAAATGAAGACATCTTCACTTAATAACTAGAGGAAAGTTTATGTAGAATTTAATTTTCTATATTTATAACAAAAAACGAATTCATACATATTCAATTTTATTTTAAAGTTTTATAATAATAATATGTTATTAAATAAATTGATACATATTAATTTAATATATTATGATTTAATTATTAATTAATAATTAAAATCTAATAATTTATAATTATATTATTGATTAAAACCATGCAAGGTCTCCTGACCGCAAATTTCTTTTATACAAAAATCAGATGATCAAAATGAAACCCGAACCACCTCACATTCTCCGCATATTCTACGCAAGCCATGTGCTACCGAACACAATATAATGGCAACATGGATGGATCTCTTGCTCTTGACTAGGATCCTACCTTTGCCTTGTGAATAACATCATATATGCACCTTTTGACTATCATCTAATATTGATGAACATTGATTTATTTAAAATTTTAATGTTTTTTATGGTCGGCCACTCAATTTCTTGCCAAAAAATAGCACTTTATACCTAATTCAAGCAGTTCTCTTTGACAAATCTTTTAAATTTTCTAGAGCAACTTGACCCTATTTCTAAAGATAGTGCTTGCATATTTAGGAAAACTGAGAAATCAACAGACCTAATTAAGTTGGCAAAAGAAAAAAAAAAAACGTAATTAAGACTTGGGAAAAAGGGAAATAAAGAAGATTCATTTCTTTCATCTCCTTCTTCTTTTTTTTTTTTTTTTCTTTTAATCATCTACTTTGCATTATAGGAGTTTAAACCTTTGACAATCAAGGTTTTTTTTTTTTTTTAATAGAAATTAACTTGACATGAGCTCCAATTAATTAATTAGTTTTAGCTAATTCTAATCTCAAATGACAGGATTGTTTTGGAGCACTTGCCACCTATAAACCTTGTGGTATAGGTGGGTTTTGGCAGTTGGGAGTTTATTTCTTACCTAATATTTTTTGTTTATGTCTTGGGTCATTTATATAGTTTATGATCATATATCGATTATGGGACCAGAGTGTCACATGATTTGCATACCAATTCTCATACACTATTTGTGTGTTGGGTGCTTCTCTTGAAAGTAAAATAAAATATTAAGAAAAAAACATATGTTAACAATGTGCCTAATTATTTTGATTTGCTTAATCTTACCTGCCTAACCGATAATTTCTTAAGAATTAAACTAATTGATCTTGTAGCTACTTATAATAATTTTTGCTGTAATATTGACCAATCTAGTGCTAATGAATTTCCTTCGTTTTAAAGTAGAAATCTTGAATATATAACTTACGAAAGATCTTAAATAGAAGTTACAAAATTGTTTGTGAAATTTTTTTTTTCTTAATTTCTTAAGAGACGTTCAAATGGTTAATTAAAAGTTTCAATCTTAAACTCAAATCTTGGAATGGATGAAAAAAGGTTTGAGAAAGTGAGAATCATCTTCTATTATATAATCAATCATCTAATATACTAAAAAAATTTCTTTTACAATTAAGTAAGAAACCTCCTGTTTTTAAAATAATTAATATATATTTCCCCACTGAATTCACATGCAAATTCATGTATATAGGGAGAAATTAAGGTTGTTTTATGTGGTCTTTCCTTGCCAGTTTGAGAAAAAAAATTATATAAAAAATTATTCTTATATTATTTTCCTTAGTTTACCCCCTTGTCAATCTCAAAAATTAGAGCATATGTGTCTGATAAGATATTTCATCTGATGATTGAAAAAAGAGGGATATTTCAAGTTCAAAATCAGCATGTGTCATGCTAACACTAACTTAACAGAATTTATATTTAATTTATCAAATTTTATATCGAAGTTAATAGGAGTATATAATTTTATATCGAAATAAGACCTTGTAATTATCACAATTATCACATAATGTAAATACAGTAGATGCATTCACACATCTTATTTAGTGAAAAAATCAATCACTCAATTGGTTATTCAATATATATATATATATTTTAGTTTTCAATATGTCATGTTTCATTCAGTTATTTAAAAATTAAAAAATCGTTGTACAATTTAAACTGCACTAAATTACATTTCAATAACTGTTAAAATGAAAAAAGGGTCCTTTCGCCATTTAACTATCCATATTTTGCAGAGCGGGCATTGGAGTACAGAAGGAGAAACTCTTCATTAATTTAATGTTGCTCAATAAACATGATTATCCAACCCATACCCAAGGCCGACTAATTAATAGGAATATTAGTGGAAATACGATTTGAACCTAGGAATAAAGGTCTCATTACAATTTAAAGAATTAACACAATCGTACGTGTTTGTTGATATTTTCTCATTATGATTTTTTTTTCGGTACATATATTTTCTCATTATGATGTTGGTGCATTCCATGTGCCAACAGTTAACGACGCACTAATCAATCAACTTTGTCCATATACGTAATCTTAATTAAGTTTGCATAAGATGTATTATTTTTCAAAACGGAACAAAAAAAATTTGAGTGCAAAACATGTTACTCCACTTTGGCCCATGGACCAAATAACATTAATAATTTAGCTTGCTATCTTGATGACTTTTTATTCTTATGGCTAACCCACTCGATCGAGCATATATAATAAAGAGAGAAATCTATGTATAAACCAAAAATGGCCTTATCTAGGATATATAGTGCTTACACAATTTTTGCTATGAAGCTGCAAATTAAGCTTCTTAAAAAAAAATACCTTTATAATTTTTAGAATTTTATTCATAATTTGATTTATCAAATTAATCAAGTCATGATAAAACAAAGGGAAAAACTCTAAAAGTAGACCAAATTCATAGTTCGGCTTTTAAAATCAACTTTTTCTAATTAGTGGATATAAAACACATTAACTAATATG